AGTATTGTATGGTTAGGTGACGTCTGCGCCAATGGGCGTCATGTGCATTTTGTCACCCGTTATGATTGGCTGTGTGCGTTTAACATTGTCCTAGACTAATTTGTGTGTGGCACTTACCCAATCAGAAAAGGCCGTAAGGTCCTGGCAACAATGCATCAATCGGCATGTCGATTTACATATCACATAGCGAAGCGGAGAACAACTGAAGCAAACAGCAACGGCTAATCAGTACATCGGCTGACATGAGTGAGGCCAACAAGAATATTGACTTGTCTATAACTCCGCCGACGTCAAAAGGGACAAAGATCACGCAAGCTCGCCAGCGGCCATCCTCCGGGAGGGCAAATGCTGCCAGCACCGAACGGGCAGGTCAAAGTTTGCGCGTCCAGCACGGTTCTAATACGAGGCAAGTCGCAAGACTGGCTAACTCAGGAAGAATGTCGCGCAGGAAAATAGATTTTCTGACGAGCCCTTCTTATACTTCATTGTATCATCTCGGAATGTCCTCTATCTCTTCTATTTAATATATATACTACTTTGCAGCAATTCGAATTTTGTGAGGTCTCGGAACGTACACTCCCCAATATTCCAAAGACTCTTGTGGAAGTATTCCCTCTAGTTTCCCCTATTATTTTCATAAACTTGGCAAAGTGCAATATAAGCTCACGTGTTGCTGACATCTCCTGGTGTAAAATGACATTCTGAGGTCCGTAACACTAATATAGAGGACATTACCACCGTGATATCCACTTTCTTAATCACTTAATTCTCTTTACTTCGTAAATGTCCCACCACATGTCAGGTTTCCCACTTTCATTGTTTTTCTACTTCTGCTCGGGACTAATATGCCTGTAGTGTCGGAAGCAGAACATAATCTGTGTTTGCTTATTTTTAAGGATGCTGAAATGGCGAGGGTGTTTGAAGAGGCAAGGTTCGTCTTCGAATGCGCAAGTCTTGCAGTCGTGACTGTATTCATCCTGGAATTTCCGCTGAAATTGTGGGTATTTGGAATTCGATTCTACCGCACAAGTTGCGTGGAGACAGTCGATGCCCTGGTCTGTCTCGTTAGTTTTTCGATCGATGTCTACGTAATTGTCGTAAATGAAAGCCACCGTGGAGAGGTGCATACAAATTTTGATGTACAGCAGACCAGAACCTC